TTTTTTTTTTTTTTTTTAATTCACACAACTATTTTCACTATCATTGCACATTTTTATAAACACTTTATTTAAGTCACACACTTTATTTGATCTCATGTAATTAATCATATTATCATTTTTTTAAAGTCTCTCTTAAGTACTCGTATGAAAAATTACGGGTAATATTAATGTAGTTATTTTCTTATTCATTACAACACAAAGATCATTTTGGTTTTCTTTTATACACGACCAAATCTTACAACTACTATCATCTCTCTTTCTTCCACCCATATTTTTTCTTTTAAATCATACAGACACGAACACACATTTTTCTTTTAATTATTATTTTTCACTGTTACATTAGTTTTAAAAATTTTTTTATTCACTTGGAAATTTGTAATGTGGCCTATACGAGCACTTCTCCGTGAACAATCACTCGCAATTTCAAGTATACTTGTTTCTCTTAAGAACTATTTTTCATACCTATAGTCCTTTATTTACCGATACTTCGTCACGCATATTTATGTCTTTTACGTTATTTTATTTATATAAATTCCTTTTTATTACAATTAATCATCATTCACTCGTTCATCGTGTAACAACTTACAAATAGGTACTTATTATATGTTTTTGTTTATCAATTCATTTTTATATCAATTCTTTTATTCATTTGTTTATTTATTTATGTTTTAATATTTGTTTCTCTCTCCGTATAAGTAAACTTACAAAAAAATATTACAAAAGTGATTATCGTTATTCCTTGTTTTGAATTGTCATAATTCGAAAATACAGTCGCGCATTATTCGCTAATAGACGCCTTTTCGTATTTAATAAACAATACAACTAGTATCATTTTCAACAGATTTTATAAAAATTTAACAATACTTTTTTTGGCACTACAGTCATCCAACACTTAAATAATTTAGTATCATGATTTTGTAAAAAAATTTTAAGAAATCATACGTAATTTACAACGCATGAAAAAATTATTTGAAAATAATACGGCGTCTGCGACCATGCGTTAACTTGTTTTGTTTGTATAATCACCTTATTACTTATACACTCAGGTATATGTGTAATCACGCATGTACGTATCATACGTATACATGGACAATAAAATCTGATGTAAAGAATACTTTGGTACATTGAGTGATAAATCTTTTGGATAAAATCTCGTGTAAAACTTTGAATAAAAACGATAAATTTGTGTATATTTTATATTTAAGTATAAATACGTCGAGGCTCGCATCTCAACCTTTAATCTTAACATTTTATACTCTCAACATAAAAATTTTAATATTAATACACAAACACTAATATTATAGGAGAGTTTAGTAAGATATACGCATTTCTTTATCATTGCTCGATAGTATTTTGTTTTTCGTATTGAATACTTCGGGAATAAAATTAATCAATCATGTTGAGATGCACAAACATCAGATAAAAGATTGAGAAGCATCTTGTACATTGTTTTTAATTTTTTTTATTTTATTTCATTTGTTTAATAGTTTTCTTTAACACTTATAATTTATCATTTTGTAATAATTATTTTAAAACAATCACCTGCTTGTATTTTATTTGATTTAAGCAACAATTCCTTTTGTTATTTATTTTGGCTTTTCATTTCATTAAAATGATGTGATTCGCAACACTCATAGTTTGAAATTTATCGCAGAAATTTTATGTCGCACAGTTTTTATCCACACATTATTATGCGCTTTTTATTTATTGACTATTACCCGTTTACGCAATATAAAATTGAAAAAATTTTAATTTTCTTAGTAATTGAAGTTTAGATAAACGCACATCTAATGAAAAAAATATTTGATGTAATGTATGCACTTACATATTTTTTGAAAATTCATTTGTTAGTAAAATCATTCGAACGGTATTTAGATTTTTTGTTAAACAAATTAAAATGTCGTTTAATCACATAGGACATATTATTCTTAAGGATTTGACTGCTTGATAATACCTTGATATTTTGATTAAACGGTTGAAATTTAACTTAAATATCCAAACTATGTTTTTGCTCGTTAATAAAACATATTTTACGTAGCATTTAAAAAATTATAAATCCAATAAGGTAATAATCTAATATCACAAGTTTTTATTTACTTTGATTTGTGAATGGCTTAAAAAAAATTAATATCATATTATGTAGGAATAACTTTTTCCTGGAAATATGTATATGCATTGAATCATTGTAAGTAACTAGTTTGAGCATGGCACGCGGCTTTAGTGCTATGTATTTATGAATAAATTTTTATATTACTTTTATCAAGATTTTCATTAAATATATTTTGCATATTCATCGATGTACTCTTAACAATTGGTGTACGTAAAAAAATGGTTTCGAACTTTATTTTCTTTCCGTTGCGGATTATGTGCGTGTGTTTCTTAAAATTTAATCGAGTTTTTTTATTTTGTATTTGTTTATTCTTTTATTTATTTTTTAAAGTTATGCCTGATTTGTTTTTTTTTGTTTTTTTTTTTTTGGTTTCTTNTTTTGGTTTTTTTGGTTTTTTTTTTTCTTATTTTTCGTATAATTCGCGTCTTTTTTCCATCCTACAACTTATATCAACTTTTTTATTATGCTTCTAATAGGGACATGTACATAATACTAATTTTTTAATACTTCTATTTTCATTTTTATAGGAAACGAGAGTAGTAGTTATTTCATATTTATAAATTTTTTAAAAATATGCGAAATTAAGCTTTACTTGTGAAAAATATACTTCTGTAAAATTTAAAAAATATTATTGGCACATAGTTTCTTATTTTAAAGTTCCATGCATTGAAAGCACAGAAAATATTTAATTCGTCAAAAATTGATTGGAGACAAATACGATTTTAAACGCAGCTTGAAAATTCGCAATAATTAATTTCCTTAATCTTCATCGTATTGATAATTTTTTTTACAGAAATTATAATTTTGAATCGCGCAAACTATAAAAAAAGTTCATGCAAACGTGGAACATCAATCGAAAATTTAGTAATATGAATGAAAATATTTTCAATTCAACGGAAAACTTGTTCAAGTATTATAAAAAGCGTATAACACAAGTAACTTTGACAAAAATCTCTATTTCCTAAACCTTGTTTGAAAAAATGATTTTCTTATGAACTTTAGGAACAGAGATAAAGGTGGGAACTGCCTATTTGTGTTGCCCGTGTAA